ATTCTGCACTCCCAACCCCTTGATCCCCACAGTCAAAGTACCTGTAACTTCCAGGAGGTAGAGGGTGTGAGGAGAATCTCTTCTTTGGTGTATTTTGGCTCAAGGTTCAGATAACTTCCAAAAAAAATAATAATAATAAAGAAAAGAGAGAGACCCGTGTCAAGTTCAAGTTCATATTCATTCAGATTTGTTGACACCTTCAGTTTCTTGCCAAATCTCAACTACACTGCAAATTTACAAAGTTGTGATTTCCAGACCTAAGACAGCCTGCAATAGGAAGACTTTTAGCATTTGACAAGTCCTAATTAGGTTTGTCAAAATTGAAAAGTGGTGCCAGCCAGTGGGCACTGTCTCTTGCTGGCCAGTGGGCCTCAGCGTTGGGCTGTGAAAGGGGCGGCTTCTCTGCTCACGCCTCATCTGAGAGCCTGCTGGGGTCTGGAGAAACCATAGGTGCCACCTCAGAGACCTTGCAGCAAAGCCTCTAGTTCTGCTCCTTGGGTTCCAGGACAAAGCTGTGGGAAACGGAAACAGGAGGGAACCAAGGCTGAAAGACTAAAACTCCTGGCAGTTAGCTGAGGGAGATAACACTCTGGGGTCCAGCCGCCTCTTCTCAGCCCACCTGCACGTTTCTGAAGCAAGCTGAGAGGCCACCTCCTGTTCCTCAGCCTGGACAGTTCTTTCACCAGGGCCTGGGTGAGTTGAAGCCAACCGTCAGCACAATCCCTTCCATGTAGCACCAGCTGAAGGTTCTCATAAACGGCAAAGTTTCTCACTGGACTGCAGGTGACCTGGAGCCAAGGTAGAGGGGAGTGGACCCTATCTCCTATCAATTCTGACCCTAGGCCCCCTCCTTCCCTCTCCATCGTCGCCCTCATCCTGGTCAGGGGCGCTCCAAGTCAGGAAGAAGGGCTGCTGGAGCCTGGGAGGGGGGCGATCCCGAGGGATGAAGGATGATGGCTAGGAAAGGCTGGGTGACCGGGTTTTGCCACTGTCCCCAACCGGCCCTGGGACATCCGAAGGCGGCGGTGGGACACTTGAGGCTCAGGTCTGGGGGAAGCCTGGGGACTCGTCCTCTCAGCGGGACTCGAGCTCCCTGCGCGCCCCGGCCGGGGTCCCCGCCTGCTGCCGGAAAGCAAGTCTGGAAAGGACTGGGCTCTGGCGATCACTCTCGCAGCCGCAGCCGCAGAGACGAGACGCTGAAAATGGAGGTGCGGGTTGGGCTGGTGGGGCATTACCAGCAGCTTCGACCTGCCAGGACCAGCGTCTCTGCCCCCGCCGCCCGCTGCAGCCAACCAAGAACGCATCCACGCGGGGCCCCTTCCAAGGTCACTGAGCTCACAGGCGCGAAGAGCACCAGCAGCCGCAGTGAGTGGCTGCCCGGCCGCGCTGCACCCGGAGGGGTGTCTGAGTGCCAGAAACGGAAGCTCATCTCCCTGCACAGGATTCCAGTCCTTGCCAAGGACGAGAGATCTGCCTACCCCCGGAGAGGGCTCAGAAGGCCGGGCCGACGTTCACCCGAAGTAGCTCCGCAGCCGACACGAGCCCGCCTGTCTGGAGCGTCTGGGAGCACCGGCCGAGGCCGCCTCGGTGCGGAGAAGATGATAACACCCCGGTCCTCCCTGGGTGCCCTGAACAGACTTTCCCCGGCTCCTCCAAGAGCTGGGGGTCGATTCTGCTCTCCGTTTTCCGCTTGCTAGGAGCATGCCCTCGGGCTACGTTATGACTGTCCGTGCCTCAGTTTCCTCCTTTGTAAGTTGGAGGGGCGGCGCCACACTTGTCAAAGTTACTGTAAGCCTTAAATGAACTAACCCCGATGAAGAGCTTAGAGCTGCTCCCAAAGCACACCGCTATATGCAGGATACCCTTCTCAGCATCCTCACCTCCTCTTAAGGGGACCGTCCCTCTGTCTGTCTCTCTGTCTCTCTCCCTTGCTCCCCTCCTTCCCTCTCTCCCCCATCTCGATCCCTCATCCGCTTTCTCCCCTCCCGTAGTCTCTCTCCTTGTCTCTACGTCTCTCCGGATGGCTTTGTAGACCCGCAACATCTGAATGAAATGTGCAAAAGGAATCCACCCTTTTTCTTGTGTCGGTCCCGCCACAGAGGCGAATCTGAGCTGTGTACTTTGGAGCCAGCCTTTTCCGCGCCAGCGCCGCCGAAGTTCCCGCGTCTCGGTCAGCTCCCTGAAGCTCATGCTTGTCGGGTACCTCATGATTCCTGAAATCTGGGTTTCTCGGCCCACCTGGGAGAGCCAAGGAGGTGGTGGGTTGGACACGGAGTCCCTGCAGCCCCTCGGTCCGGCTGGGCGACAGCGATCACGCGGCCACCGTGCTCAACCCACAGCTGCAGCCGCGGTGCCACGGGCCCCAGTGCGCGGCCGTGGTAGGCCCAGGCTTGCGGCTCGCATTTCCTGGGCCGACAAAGCTTAACGGCGTGGCCACCGACTCCGGGGCCCCAGCACCCAGGCCAGAGAGCTCAAAGTTCCATGGGTCAGATCTGAGGGGCTGGGGAACCGCCCGTGTCACAAGCAATGTGAATTCCGCGCTGCCGAGAACCCGGACTGCGAACTTTTCGCCGGCCTCTGAGTGCAGCTCAATCTCCCGGACTCAGGAGAAACGTTTGGAGCCATCCAGACTGCCAGGACGTCAGGGCCAGGTCATCAAGTACACCAAGGGCTCGGTTCGCGTTCACGAGGACAAGGGGCCAGACCCTTGATTTTTCCTTCTGCAACTCAGAACTTTAACCACTGGCCCTGAATCTCGATGTGCGCCGGTTGTCAAGACGCTGAAATTCACCACTTCCACTTCCGAGGAGCCGGCGGCCCAGAACGATTCTTGGACACGCAGACTGGAAGACGAGAAACGTCCCCTCCATCCGGAGTGAAAAGGGTCCCAGGTTCAAAGTGGCAGCCCCTCTGGGTGTCCCAGGGGGAGTTTCAATTCCCAGGGGAGGGGAAACGGGGCCTCAGCGCAACCACCGCAGGACACAGTCAATCCAGCCTCACGCTGCCCCTGGCTGGTTGGGAAGCTGAAGAGGTTAGCGGGCCCTGCCTGCTGCTCCGTCAGGTGCAGACCCTTCCGGGGCGCCCCAATCGGCACGTTTAATTTGGGCGCAGGCAGGCTGCCCCAAGCTTGAGCTCTGGGCCTTTCAAAAAGCACCCACAGTGGGAAACTCTCGCTTCCCTCCAGCTTCAGAAACCCGAAATTCCAAGCAGAAGTCAGGCTTTCTCAGGATAACCAGAGGAAAAGACTGTCCCCCACCCCCTTCTTTCCGTTCTTTATTAATTTCATGGTGAGTTTTAGGGGAAGTGACTTAAGGTCTAGAGCGATCCTCCTTTGCTCTCAATGCCTGCCTTTTTTGCTCCATCTGTCTAGGAGCCTACAGTCAGGAGCTCCTCCGACCCCACCCCAGGCATCTCAGACTGTCCATGGCTTTGCCCGTTTTTCTAGCCCGGTCTAGCTTCTGTTCTTCTTCCTTCACCTCTCTGCCAATGACTGCAATCCAGGGGCCCGCATGAACATCCATCATGTTCTCCCTTGCTCCGTGACACCCGTCCTCCCCAACCATGTCCACACTGTAAACTGACTGAAGTTTTCCTGTTTGTTTCTTGTTTTAAAAAAGGTTTAAGTAAACGGGCATTTGGGATTCCTTGGTGGCTCACATGGTAAAGTGTCTGCCTGCAATGCTGGAGACCCGAGTTTGATCCCTGAGTCGGGCAGTTTGCGCCTGCAATGCTGGAGACCCGAGTTTGATCCCTGAGTCGGGAAGTTTCCCCAGAGAAGGAAATGGCAACCCATTCCAGTATTCTTGCCTGGAAAATTCCATGGAAGGAGGAGCCTGGCAGGCTATGTCCATAAGGTCGCAAAGTGTCAGACATGACTGAGTGATTTCATTTCAAACAGGCATTTATCAGGATTATTTGGGCCACCAAGAAGCATCCTGACCCCATGCAAATGAAATCCACAGACAACTGAGAAAACAGTAATATTAATTGAAGCAGCTACACATTAAATACATATAAGAGATTAAGATATAAATGGCATATAAAAGTCCAGAATCTATTAAGAGCTGGAAAAAGAAACACAGGACACAGATGTCTAGACATGCTTCTTAGACTCAATGTTAGATTCAAGGTCAGAGTCGAGAAGGGATCAATCTAATCCAATTTCCTCAGTTTATGAATAAGGAAACAGGCCCAGAGAAAGCCAGGCACCCCCTCAAGGTCGCATAGCAGAGGAGTCGAAGAATCCAATCCTGACTCCCAACGCACTGCCCATCCTACTCCGACTCAGGTGCTTGCTGCTTTAGGAATCACAGAGCAAACAGCTTTAGCTCTCACAAGGCGAGGGGATTCCGTGAAGGATCCCCTTCCTGCAATCTTGTTGTCTCTCCCCGGTCAGGTGTGGGCTGTCCGGAAAGGGTCTGGATCTCCCGGCCCTGGGAGTTCAGATCAAACCTCCCCTCCACAGCCTCCTCTACCCGAGAGCAACACAGGTGCAGTTCTCCGAGAGCACCGATAGGTGGCGCGTTCCTCACAGGAAAACCAGCCGGGACTCCTCCCGCGCTCCTGGGACCCTGCTCTCTGCCCTAACCACCCGCCTAGGGTCCCTCTCGAAAGCAAGCGGATAGAGAGGGGTGCAGCAGGGGCTCAGGCTCGTGCCGGAGGTTTGAAAAGACCCTGGAAACCTTGATTCTAGCCCTTCGGCTCAGAGTGACCTCACTCTTGTTAAGAGGCCAAAGAGCTTCGAGCGCAGAGGCAAGGCCCTGCTCACTGGCCCAGAGACAACACCAGGGTCACCCCTAGGGGGCGCTATCTCCCCTCAACGAGCGTGTCCACGAAGCCGCTCATTCACGCAAGCTGGGCTGCTGCCTTCTTCTACCACTATCCCCAGACCCCATTCTTCCGCCTACTTTCCCCCTTTTTTTCAAATATTGGGAATGGGGTGGGGGGGCAGTAAGCGAAGCCGGGAGCTTTTTTCAATTGCGACGATAATTGTCCTCGAGATGGGTTTCTTAGTCTGCGCAGCCATTATTCACTTCTCTTCTAATACTTGGTTTTGCCGCTTTGATCGCCAGAAGATCACAGACTTGACTCCTTTGCATAACAATTTTGGGGCGGGCGTACTCGGTGCGGGAGGGGAGGGACGTGCCTGGAATGGCTTTGGGGTTGGTATTCCATCCCTCCCCCGTACTTCATTCCTGGCACTGAGGCCAGCCTGCCTCTCACTGACTTCCCATCCCTAACAGCATCATTCATGCCTGGAGAGTTCTGAAGGCGAGTGGGGGGTGGGGGGAGAGGGAGCAGCGAACCCCCACCCCGCCTCCCTCCCCGAAAGGCCGCAGGAACCTTAAGGCCCTCCAGTGGGACAGAAGAGAGGAGGAACTGTGTCTCCCGCTCACCTCCATTGCTTTCCCAACCCCAAGAGATGCTGCCTCTTCCACCGCACAGACAGACTGGGGAGAGAATATACCTCACTTGAGGTGAACTGAATGGAATTGGCAGACCCAGGGAAGGAGACCACGGTCCCCTGTGCTCTCTCATTTGGCACTTAGGCCTCGGGACAAAACTCAGATGTCCAAGGTTCGCAATCCGAGCGGCAGCGTCTGGGGGACCCTGATCTAGTCCCTTCCTGCTCTGAGTCTCAGCTGCCTCATCTGTGGAGTGGGCTTATAGACATTCTCTCCCTGAGGCCCAGTGATGTTGACCTTGCCACATGTTGCCACTGTTTCCCCCAGTGAGGACTTCGGTTTGGGGATAGCATAGGTGGGTTTTGGTGGGGAACAGAAAACCAGTGGCTATTTTAATCAGGATTTATCAACTGCTTCCTCTGCCTTCCCCTAGTTCAGTGATGGGGGTGGGGGAGTGGTGATGGGGTGGGAGGTGAGCAGTGGGCTTGGGGTTAGAACCCTCTGGCCCTTGCTCTTTCACACACCTCACTTCCAGCCTCGGTGGGAGGGAGTTGCTCTCAGGTTCCCAGCTGGCACGCAAGCGCACCCCCGGAGACCTGCACACGGACAGGCACAAGAGCCAGGGCACAGAGCCCATGCAAACACTTACACTTGCAAACCCGGACACAGCGCAACCGCGCGAGGGTCCCAGGGGCACCGAAAATGCACACAATCCTTTCGTGCACTTGGCACACACGTACACACGCACTCACCTGGAGTTTCTCACACACACAGTCACGTACACACACGCAGGCGCCCCCAACTCTGGTTCCTGCGGGAGCAGGGGGAGAGGGAAGGTGGCCCCGGAAGGCCGAGAGCTGGCAGTGACCCCTCCCCCGCACCTCCCCGGCAGGCGAGCCAGTCTGAGCGAGGAGGTGGGGGCGGTGGGGGGAGGCACCCGGGTTCTCGCCCCTCTTTCCCTGCCTTCTCCCAGGCTCGGTGGACCTCTTTCCCCACCTGCGCCCCTTGCGGACCAAACTTTTCCCTCTCACCTCCCCGCCAGCTGCCCGCAGCGCGGCTCTCGGTAGGAACCCGGAGTTTCCCCGCACCCTCCCCGGGAAGGGGGTCGGTCGGGGAGGTTGCACCCCAGGGGACGAAAGCGGGGCGCGGCCTGGCTCGGGCACGGGGGCCGGTGGGGAGGGCGGCGAGAAGGCGCTGGCCGGGAGCCCGAGCGCCGAGAACCTGGCGCGCCGACTTCTGCTTGCCTTCCCCGGGCCAGCGGCAGAAGAGCCGTGGGACCAGGGCTCAGCCCTGTAGGAGTCAAGGGAAGGATGACTGCTCGGGCCAGCCGGAGACCGCGGTTTTGGAGCCGTAGGGGCACTTCTATGCAAAGGTCTCGGATGTCGTCTGTGTATTTTTTTCCTTGAGTTATTCTTTTTGTGTTCCCAACTTTGCAGTTGGGTCTGACCTCCCGGGGAGCATGGGCTGAGCCGAGGGGGGGGGCAGCAGAACCCGGAAGCCGCCCCGGCCCCCCCTCGTGCGCACTCTCACATCCGTATCCACCGGTGTGCACGCGCTGGAGGCCAGTCCGTGTGGACCCCGACCCGCGCCGAGCCGGATGGAGGCGGGAGCCGCCCGGACAGGTGGGGACCTGGGTGGGCAGCAGGCCCCCTCGGCCTGGGGACCCAAGCTCTGGGAACCTCCTGAGCAGGAGGAGGGAGTGAGAGAGGGTGAAAAGCAAAATAAAGGAGTGAGGAAAATTCGAGCGTAGCCGCTGAATTGACTCCGGGCTTTCTTTTCAGGCGGGGTTGGTGGTATAGGGGGCTGTGAGGATGAACATTAGGGTTTCGGTTCTGGCGTTTGGGTGGAATTCTCTGTAAGGAGAAAGGCGGGATGTCTGATTAAAGTGAAGAGAAATACAGAGAGAAGAATATATAGTTGCCTTGCTTTCGGAAGCCCTGAGCTCTAAAATCCCCGGCTCCGGGGGGTGTGTGGCACAGCTTTAGGGCGGTTTGGGCATACAGAGGGGAAGGTAAAGGCTCCTTTTTGTAATCTGTGCCAAGGGGCCTTTTATCTCTCGCCCCAAGTCCTTGATCCAGCCCTAAGTCGACAAATCAACCCGCCCGCAACGACGGTCTGGTGTCTGCACCCCGGTGCCCAGGAATCAGGCGCCCGACCGCGTCCGCAGTTCTCGGGAGTCGCCAGAGATGTTTCCCCCGTTTCCCATAGTCAAGCAGAGAAGGGGCTTCAATTTCTCGCTTGCCCAGCTTTAAAGGGGGTAAAAGCACTCCGAAACCAAAACTGTTTCTAGAACAAAAAAGTCCGTGCTGTGAACCGCTTCTCCCTCCGATAAAAGGGAGAAAACCCTGAGGGAAGTCAGGATGATGGGTGCATAAATTCAAATATTGAAATCCTTAAAGGTGACCACCTCCAACAGTGGGTTTTTAGGAGGCTTTTTAGGAACCTGGATATTTGTGGGTATACTTCTTGCACACAGAAGTAAAGAAATATCCCCTGCCCACCTCCAGTCTTCTAGGGTCTCTATAAACAAAGCAGCTGCCCCAATTTTTAGAGTCAACAGAGCATTTTATTTCTGTGGTTTGTTTCCCACATACCCTCACTTCAGCTTTATCCCTTCCCCTGCCTCCCCTAGTCCCACTTCAAACTTTGGGTACAATCGCTTAGGATCCCTAACCAATACCCACTGAATCCCCCTGCACCCACTCACACCCTACATTATTATCGCTTCCAAATGAAGACCAAAACCCCGGAGCGCTAATTGAATTAGTCTATTGAAAGGACTGTCAGGTATGACGTGGCTCGAGGCCCCACATTTCCCAAGGTCTATAGGCTTTGGGGACCTGCGATGTATAGTCTGACCTTCCGGCTCATAATAATACCGAGGCACTTGTAGCAGAAATCTCCTCGCATTCACTCCCAACAAAACCGCTGGTCACCCAGTCCCCGTAGGAAGGCTGTGCGCTATTGTGTTGCGACAACTCATTCATGTCCCGCGCCACGAGGCCCCACCGCCATCTGATCTACACTCGAAATGCGATTACCACCGTGTGCATGCAACACGCTCATCCTCTCGGCCCAACGCATGCTCGCCTGGACAGGCTGCAAGGTTTTCTTTCACAATTCTCCTCCTCACACCCATCCACGAAAGACAGGTGGAAGCAGGCAGGACCATGACATTTGTCTCTGCCTAAACGAAATCTAAAGTTCTGTGGAATGCGAGATGGTGGGAGACTTCTCTTTTCTGAAGAGCATACACCAAAACCCTCACCAAATACATTTCACTGCACCCAGATGGTGGGGCAGACTCAGGTGTACACACTAACGTGTACATACACTAGCCTCCAGCCATGCACACAAATACACAGACATACAAACAAAGCTTCTATGGACTCATTTCTGTCTCTGGTTCTCAGATACTCAAGCAATAGACACAAATATAGGCTCATTCCCCCATAGCCATGGGCCACTCTCCAAGTCCGTAAGTGGTTTTTGCAAGATTGGAAAACAAAGGTACAGTACCCCAGCCTCTACTCCTCATCAGTTCCTACTTATGGTCCCCAAACTTCTCTATCTTCCCCCAAACACACAAACACTTCCCCTCTGGCCAGGTGCCTTTAGCTCAGCGGCAGGCCCTGGTTAGTTAGCTTCAGTGGAGGAAGTCTGGGAGCGGGAGAGAGGCAGGAGGGTTGAGAGGGGTCCCTGTCTTGCTTACCCCACCCCCCACCACTGAAAGCCTCTTTCGGCTCCCTTTGCCCTTCAATGAAGTGAGGAAAGAAATGCTCCTTTTGGCATTTAAAATCCTTTTCTTTCTCATCATTCTCCACTTCTATGTGGGCTGGCAGAACTCAGGGACAGTCAATTTATTGCAGAGATATAGCTATGTCAGTGGCCTTCTGTGAGCTCTCTGGCCCCATCAGAGCGGCACAGCTCAGAACTAAACTTCCAAATCTTTGGCCCTGGAGCAGAGGGCATTTGAAGAAAAGGATTCCATTGGATTTGCGAAAATTCTCCCAACCTGCTTCCTGACTGCCCACCCCTTCCTGGACATCTATCAAGTTGGTAGAAATCCTCAAAGGCACAAACCAGTACATCTTAAGACTGCCACAGAAACACACTCACGCCTGCACACACATTGCTCCACACACACCTAACCCCTCTACCTACAGGCTTTTACACAGAGTCACCCTGCCCGTATTTCCTCACCCACATTTCCAGTCTTGGGCGCCCTCTGAGTCCTCTGGACCCTCACACACCCACCTGGATCAACATTTGCTCACTGTGACACCCTATTATGAGGCTTGCCAGGACACCGACCCGCTAACACCAAGTTTCCAATAATATGTTCATTTTCAGGAAGAAGAGAGGAGGGCGCGGGCCCTGGTAGGGGTCTCGGAGAGCAGGCGGCTCTGGATGCGGAGCATCGGCGGAGGCCTGGCCTGGGGGGAGGATGCTGTTGCGGGGTGGAGGGGGCGAACCAGTGCGAGGAGCACCGCCTAATCCAGCCCGGAGCTCGTGGGCCGCGAGTGCATTTATCATCCCATTACTGTAACAAATCCGGGCTCCACTACATGAAAGGTAAAATGAATTACCGACGTTAAGCCGTCAATAAAGTCATTTCTGTAAATGGTGTCTCCAAAGGGCCGCCGCATTATTCAGCTGGCTTTATCAGCTGGCTGGAAATTACGTGGAGGAGCCGGGCCGCGCGGCGCGCGGGGCCGCTCACTTTGATTAAGCGTCTTGCCAGCGCGATGTGACAGAGCTTTTGACCAGGGTTTTATTCACAGGCCTGTGATGAACGCCAAGCTGATCAGGCGGAATGAAGAGTAATTAAAACCTATAAATTATCTTCCGCAGCCCTTCTCGAGGCGTCTCCTGCAGGCGAGATAAGGCGTCGAGACCCTATTTACGGCGCTGAAAGGGACCGCGGCGCACAAAAGCTACGCGGCTAAATAGGATATTGATAGTGTCCTAATTAGAATTTAATTAAGTACCTACGCTCGCTTGCGGGATAAAGATTTCAATTTTGCGAACTTAAATATAAATAAAATCCCACCCCTATTTCGGGGAGAATGGGTGGGGGTACCGGGAGATTTCGGGGAGCCCTTGGGTGCAGAACTGAGGAGGACCCGGGAGACCCCCAGGTGGGGTTGGGGGGCGACTTGGGAGGTTTGAGGAGATCACGTCGGGCCTGCTTTAGCGCTGCGCTTCGGGAAAATGGTTCTCGCCGCCCCGGAACCGCGGGAAAGTCCAGCTAGGAATTCCGAAAGCCCCGAGCATCGGAAGACCCTTGGCTGACCCGGAGATGCAGCTAGCAATACCAACCCCCGCTCTCCACTAGCCCCTTGTGAGAAACTTCGGTTAGTGCGGGGGTTCCGGTTATTGTCATTTTCGTTTTATTCTCTTCCTAACCCTCTGTGACTTTTCTGGGCACAGGGGGATTCTTTTGCATGCTTCCGTTAGACAACATCCTCAAAAAGCTCCTTTCTCCGTCGCCCCAGTTAAGGATGGCGGTCCCGGCTAGATGCTCGCCGGAGCTCCGTGATAACACCCTCTCGGAGGCCTCAGTTGCCTGAGCTTTTCTACGCTTCACCACATAGTTGGAGCCCAGCCCTCCAAAAAGGCTCGGTAAACAAACCAAACCCCGCCGATGTTCAGCGCCTCACCTTCCCCTACCTTGTCCCTGGCAGTGGGAAAACTTAGGGGTGCCTCAACAAGGAAACAGCGAAAAAGAGCCCAGCGACTGAAGACAGATCTCCGTGAGCGTGGGAGCGGCAGGAGCCCCTGCCGTTCCCTCCTCCCCTAAAAAAACTTGATAAGAAAATGCAGGGCTACAGTGAGAGGCCTTCAGGGACTGAGAAACAATCCCAAGAAAATCTGGGCCACTGGGGGAAATTCGCTGTCCAGCTGGCTAGAGCAAATACTGAGAGTGCAGTACTTTTATCCGCTAGATTTCACTTCGCATGGAAATCTAAAACGGAGGTTGCCCTGAGCTCAAAAGCCAGGGCCTCGCGGGTATCCGCACCCTGACTTACTTGGCTCAGGACAACTATAAGATGCCTGGACCGCTCGACTCCGGCGGCCAGGAAAGGACTCTCTCGCGCCCTCTGGACCTGGCTTAATGGCGGCGGGACAGCTCCTAGAGGTTGTCAAAGGTCCCGCAAGGGAAGGACATGGGTGCTGAAACCCCGGGAAGGGCTTGCAGTGCAGCCGGCCAACATGCACTACAAACCTACAAACCTAGCGAGGCGCAGCTGGCCTCTGGCGTTTGCTACTTGTGAAAAATAAACCGCTCTACT